CACCGGTACCTTGAGTCTCATGGTGCGCGTTTGTACTCTCGTGGCTCTGCCGGCAGCGCGCGGGCCTGTTGCGCGCGCGCGCGCTGCGTCGGAGAAGTCTGTGGGATCCAGCGAGAGGCTCCGTGGAGCCCCCGAGGCTGCCCGAGAGGTCGGGTGGCTCCAGAGGCACTCAGGGAGATCCCTGGAGCAGTCGTGCCGCTCCAGGAGGCTGTTGTCCAGCTGCCGCGGGCCCGCCTGTGACTGGCCTCAGGCTGCCGTCGGCGGGGGGCCCACCCCTGGGAGGCAGTGGGCACGTCTCTGGGCCTCCTACGTGGGGTCCGAGTGCACGGGGTCGGAGGATCGCGCCGCATCGCGAATGCATCGGCGATGCGGCTTGTGGAGCCCGATCTTCTCGACGCCGACGGCGCTCATGCATCGCCGACTTCGCCGATGCTCCGCCGATGCATCGGCGATGCATCGGCGATGGAGCGCGATCCTCCGACCCCACCGAGTGGGACCTCGTTCGGGAAGCAAGCCTCTCATGCCGTTCGTCTGGACGGCTCGACAGGGCGGCCGTGGAGCGATGGCCGAAGTGCGCAAGCGGCGGCAAGGCGCAGGGACCCGGCACCCAGCCGCGCATGCCACAGCGCTGCAGGGACGTCGAGCCCGTGGGGGTGGGGTGGGGTGGGGTGGGGTGGGGTCAAATTTGCCAGCTCGAGCGAGCCAGAGGGCTCCGTCCACTCCCACCCGCCCTCCCGCAACAGAAGAAGCAAGTGCGTCGCGTCCGACGCCTGTCGCTCATCTTATATCGTGGGCGGCTAGACGTTCGGACGCGACAACGGGCGCGCCAGCGGCGAACCGCATTTGCTTGAGACATGATGATTTGCCGCCCGCCCAGCTCCTCAACCCGACGGGCCGCAACGTCGACGACAAGAAAGTCCATGTTGACGAGCAGGCGTCCACGCGCGATGTGCGCCGCGTCCCAGTCCCGCTTCGCGATTCGCAGCGCCGACGAGGAGAACGTACATGCTGGCAAGACAAACGTCGACGTTGCGGTGTTTTTAAGCAGGTAGGACGGGGGGTCCCGCGTAGGGTTGGCCAGGCGTCCGCGCGCGATGTGCGCCACGTTCCATTCCTGCCACACTTTTCGCAGCGTCGACGACGAGAAAGTCCATGTTGACGAGAGACAAGCGTTGACTTTGTATTGTTTTTTGATGGGTAGGACGCGACCACCCGCGGGGTTACCCGAGCGATGTTCATTACGCTGCATTCCTGCTGCATTTTTGGCAACTCGACGACGCGTTGGCGGGGAACAAATTCAGTTTGTGTTGTTTTGGGAAAGTTAGGGCGGCGGGGTTGCCATCGGCCGGCGAGGTGGGGATGTGGGTGTGTTTCATCATAGGACGTAAGGATGGGGTGGAGTGCGGGGGGAGGGCAGCGCTGCTGCACACGTGGCGGCGTTCTGTAGGAACCCGCGGGGGGCGAACGGGACGGCGGCAATCAGACGCAGGGGCCTGGCGCGAGGAGGAGCGCGCAACAACGACGCCCAGATGACGGCGGGGGACGGGTGGGCAAACGCTGCTGCCTGCGAGGCGGCCAGGGGGCGCAAGGCCGCGCACGCCGCCGGCCGCCTGTCACGGAGCAGCGGCGCGCGCGTGCGTGTGGGCGGCGCGGTATCGCGGGCTCGGCTTCGCGGGCATTCGCGCGCAAACTTCCCGCGTAGGGTCGCGCGCGGGCGCCCTCGTTTCTAGTGCAGCGCCCCGCGCCGGCGGCCCGCGGAAACCGCCGCAGAAGTTCGCCCCGTCGTCGTGCACAAAACCCGCTTTCTTTTCGTCGTTCATGTGGCGGGCGACTTGATAAGACTTCGGGGTAGCAGGAGCAGGAGCAGGAGCAGGAGCAGGAGGAGGAGGAGGAGGAGGAGGAGGAGGAGCAGGAGGAGGAGGAGGGAAGGAGGAGGAGGAGGAGGATGCGGAGAGGAGAGGAGGAGGAGAAGAAGGATGTTGATGATGATGATGAGGTGCTGATGATGATGATGTGATGATGAATGATGATGATGAGGAGGAGGAGGAAGGAGGAGGAGGATGTGAGGAGGAGGAGGAGGAGGAGGAAGGAGCAAGGAGGAGGAGGAGGAGGAGGAGGAGGAGGAGGAGCAGGAGGAGGAACAGGAGGAGGAACAGGAGGGGGAGGAGAGGAGAAAGAGGGGAGTGAGGAGGATGAGGAGGAGGAGGAGGAGGAGGAGGAGGCGAAAAATGAGGAGGAGGAGGAAGAAAGAGGAGGAGAAGGAGGAGGAGGAGGAGGAGGAGGAGAAGGGACGAGGAGGAGGAGGCAGGATGGATGAAGAGGAAGAGGAAGAGGAGGGAAGAGGAAGAGGAAGAGGAAGAGGAAGAGGGGAGGAGGAGGAAGAGGAGGAGGAGGAGGAGGAGGAAGGAGGAGGATGAAGAGGAAGAGGAGAGGAGGAAGGGAAGAGGAAGAGGAAGAGGAAGAGAGGAGGAGGAAGAGGAGGAGGCGGAAGGGGGGAGGAGGAGGAGGGGCAGGAGGAGGGAGGAGGGAGGAGTGAGGAGGGAGGAGGCGAGGATGGAGGATGGAGGATGAAGGTGAGGATGAGGATGAGGATGAGGAGGAGGAGGAGGAGGACAAGGAGGAAGAGAAGGAAGATGGAGGTGGAGGTGGCGGAGGGAGGGGGAGGGGGGAGGGGGGAGGAGGAGGAGGGAGGATGAGGGTGAGGAGGGAGGAGGGAGGAGGGAGGAGGGAGGAGTGAGGAGGGACGAGGGACGAGGGATGAGGGATGATGATGATGATGATGATGATGATGATGATGATGATGATGATGATGATGATGATGGTGATGGTGATGGTGATGATGATGATGATGATGACGATGATGATGATGATGATGATGCTGATGATGATGATGATGATGATGATGATGATGATGCTAATGCTGATGATGATGATGATGATGATGATGATGATGATGATGATGATGATGATGATGATGATGGTGATGATGATGATGATGAAACATATAATACTATTAATACTAATACTACTAATAATAATATTAATAATACTAGTAATACTAATAATAACAATCATAGTAATACTAATACTAATATTACTACTACTAATAATACTTGTTACTAATAATAATGATAAGAATAATACTAATAATACTAATGATAATACTACCAATACTAATAATCATAGTAGTGATCATACTAATAAGAAGAAGAGGGGGAGGAGGAGGAGGAGGAGGAGGAGGCAGCAGCAGTCTTGGCCAGCCACTACTGCATGCGCTAGCCCAGACATGCGGCAATCGTATAACGCACGCACCGGCTGTTCCCATTTCCTCATTGTGAGACTGTCAAGGTAACCCGCACTTACGCAGACTGCGCTTGCTACACTTGTACTCATTGGAGGTGGCACGAGTTTTACCGTCCTTTATTTTGAGTATTTTGGGCCCCCCAGGTCGACAGGGCGGGTCCCCACCGCGTATAAGAGGCAAGCCAGGCCGGCCATTACGTATGTGCCAGCCTCTTAATGCAACGCCTCACTCTTCTCTGTGATACTAGAGTTTCTGCTTACAGCCATTTGGCACGTCGGTGAGGGACGAATCACCAGGACTAGTCCCGCTGTGGATTATCGACATCATCAACCTCTATTAGAATCAACCGACTTGCAACATTGTTTATCTCGATCTCGTCACCAGAGCACATTGCCGCTACTAAGCTGGTCTCGCCAGACTTGCTGACTTCAGGGTCGATGGTGGTGGGATTGTGACTTGGAAGGGCTGGAGCTGGGTCGAGACTGTGAGGGAAGTGGCGGGGCACGCCAGAGCGCATCGCCCGCTGTATCGCCGCAAAGACTCGGTACTCATCTCCCGAACTTCCCGCAGGCCTGTCTGTTTAGCCAGCCTTATTACGTTAAGCATACTTTGCCTCTCTATCTCCCTCTGTATTGCCTGCCACACGATTGCTGCTGCCACTCTTTCTCGCGTGCCCTCTTAGTTTTGTTACACAATGACTTGTCGTACAACGTGGATGCGGAGACGTCTGGATTAGATTCGTACCCATCGGCCGACCTGACCTGCAGCGTCAGTCTATACACTCGTTGCCTGCATTCGCGGGTAGGAGCCATCAAAGTGCTCAGTATCAGGTCTGATAGATCGGTCCTTCCCTACTCCACTATGCGGCCTGGCGGGCGCATTCTCTATGGCCTTAGGGCCCTGGACTTTTTTCGCGTCTCTACCTTACCTTCTTCAGCTACGTCCGCCTGGCTTACTTGATTGCGAAGGCTTTACGGCCGGTGCCGCCGACCCTGAATGGCGACGACGACGACGACGACGAGCGCTCTTGGGGGCCTCTTGGGGGTAGTTTGTGGGCCTCTTGGGAAGCTCTTAGGGGCCGCTTGGAAGCCTCGTGGGGGCCTCTTGGGGCTTCCTGGGGGTCTCTTGGAGGGGGCCTGGGACGTCTTGGAGGCTTCTTGGACTGTCTTGGGGCTATCTTGGGCGTTTTCGGCCGATCTTTGGGCGACTCGGGGCCCTCTTGGGCCGTCTCGGGGGCCATCTTGGGCATTCGGACCTCATTTGGAGTGTTTTCGAGGTTTCTAGGCCGCCCGAGGAAAAACGAATCTGCCCCCCCACCCCCCCCTCCCCCCCCCCCCCTGGGACCCCCCCCCCCTGGGGAAGGGATCAAAGGGAAGGGGCTTCCCTTCGAATCTACAACGGCATGGACAACGATGACGATCCGAACAACGAAAACACAACGATGTCAATCCGAACAACGAAGACGATTCGGACGAGGAAGCCCCTCGCACACGCAGACAGGGACGGCGGATTTGCCCTTCGCCTGAGTCGGCTTATTGTTTGTTGCATTCATGCACGCTTCAGGCTTCCGCCTGAAGTTTGCGCAACGTCAAGAAGAAGGAGCAGGAGCAGGAGCTGGAGGATGGGGTAGCACGGGGACCAGCGACGGGCGGCGAGGAGGGAGGAGGGTCCCTCGCAGCCAGCCGCTCCCGCAGACGGCGGCTTGTAGGCGCGCGCGCGCGCGCGCCTCCGGGCCGCCCTGGGGGCGATTCGGCGCAGGCCCCAGGGCCGCGTCAGGCCGCCCACGTCGTCGTCGCCGTCGCCGCTACCGTCGTCGTCATCGCCGCCGCCGCCGCCGCCGCCGCCGCCGCCGCCGTCGTCGTCGTCGTCGTCGTCGTCGTCGTCGTCGTCGTCGTCGTCGTCGTCGTCGTCGTCGTCGTCGTCGTCGATCGTGCTCGCATTCCTTGCCCCCCTTCCTCACGCACGCTCGCGTACTTTTTCCCCCTCCTCCTGCTCCCTCTTTCTTCCTCTCCTTCTCCTCCTCATCGCTTCCGCCCTCTCTCCCTCCCTCAATCCCTCTTCCTCCATCGGCGGCCATTGCCTTCCCTGCCTTCTTCATTGTCGCTCTTGGAGCGAGACGGCGGTCGATCGGTTGCGCTGACTTCAATAGCTCAGCAATATGCGGACACAGTGTCCTCAGATCTGGTTGGTTGCAGGTTCGGAGTATTCGTCGACGAGGGGCTGTTGGACGCAGCCTCACTGGAAACCTGTTTTGTGTTTTCTTCGTCTCTTTCGTCCCCTTCGTTTTCTTCTTCTTCTCCTCATCTTCCTCTCCTATCCTCTCCTCTCCTCTCCTCTCCTCTCTCCTCGTCTCTCCTCTCCTCTCCTCGTCTCTCCTCTCCTCTCCTCTCTCTCCTTCCATCTATCTCCTCTCCTCTCCTCTCCTCTCCTTCTCCTCTACCTCTCTCCTCTCCTCCTCCCTCCTCTCCTCCCTCTCCTCTCCTCTCCTCTCCTCTCCTCTCCTCTCCTCTCTTCTTCTCTCCTCTCCTTTCCTCTCCTTTCCTCTCCTCTTCTCTCCTCTCCTCTCCTATCCTCTCCTCTTCTCTCCCTTCTCATTTGCTCTCATCTTCCCTTCTCTCCTCTCCCTTTCTCTCCTCTCCTATCCCATTCGCCCTCCTCCTTTTGCCAGGTCCCCCGAAGCTTCCGAAGGCCCTGGAGGCTCCTGGAGGCCCGAAAGAAGGCTTCCAAGCACCGGAGAAACTTCGATGCTCGATCCCTCCTCCCTCTCGCGCCCGAGGCGGCGCCATGGCGGCCATGGACGTCGGAAAGAGGATGATGGAGAAGATGGGCTGGAGCAAGGGCCAGGGTCTCGGCAAGGAGCGGCTGGAGCAAGGGCCATGGATGGACTGGAGCAAGGGATGATGGAGGAGATGGGCTGGAGCAAGGGCCATGGATGGGCTGGAGCAAGGGCCAGGGTCTAGGCAAGGACCGCGTCCCCCCCTCCCCCCCCAGTGGCCTTCCTTGGCTTCCTGCTCTCTCTCTGTCTCTCGTTTTTTTTCCTCTCTCTCTCTCTCTCTCTCTCTCCCTCGTTTCGCCAAACCACTGCTTGCACTATATTGGCGAATGTACGGGACCGATTTCGGTGGGCGGCCGTGTTCTCGGCTTCCAGGTTCCGGATTCCAGCAAGAGTGCCAGGCCCGCAGTAGTGGGCGGCAGTAGTCGGGGTTCCCAGTTCTAGAGACCAGAGTTGACAGCAGGGACTACATATCAGAGAGTAGGGGGCAGGTTTGAGCGGAACGAATCGAGAACATATATGGAATAATGCAAAGCAGGGCGAGTTGAGAGGGCGGATGAAGTAAGCAGACTAGAAGCACAACCGCATATATATATATATACAGAGAGAGAGAGAGAGCGAGATAGAGATAGAGAGTGAGCGAGAGCGCGAGACAGGGAGGCAGCTTCGAGAGAGATAGAGGGAGAGAGAAGGAATCCAGAACAGAGAGCAGAGAGAGCGAGAGAGAGAGAGAGAAAGTGACAGAGAGAGTTAGTATACAGAGTAGTGCTGATTCACGCGAGTAGTTCTGCGGCGGGTCGGCGTGAAGTATCTGCGCGAACACTGATCGGTTTATTCTCTGGTGTAATCCTCTCTCTCTCTCTCTTTCTCTCTCCCTCTGTCTCTCTCTCTCTCTCTCTCCCTCGCCCTCTCCCTCTCTCATCGTCTTGCCTCTCCTGGTCCACCTCCCCGCCCTTTGCGTCTTCCCCTGCACTACTTTTCCTCCGCCACATCGACTTCTCTTTCTTCCACACGCCTTCGGACTCGCCTGCTGTTTTGGATTACTTCATCATTGTGTGTTTGTATCTGATTTCGTTGTTTTGGTCATACTCGTCGTTGGCGAGCGCAGGACAAGCAGGGCATGACTAGCTGCATCATCATGACCAAGAGCAAAGGCAGCAATACGCAGGGCCGCATCGAGACCGCCGCACCTATCTTCAAGAACAAAAAGGAGAAAGCAGAGGTCAAGAAGGAGGCATTTTCCTGGCCTATCCTACCTTCTCGCTTACAGCTGCCAGACGACTCAGCTGTGGGACTGATGCGACATGGGAGGCTCGTATGATTGAGTGCTGCACGGATTGCTGTCGCACGCAGGGGCTTGATGCGCCGTGGACTGCAGACGCTGCTTCCATAGGTATCGCTCTCAGCAGTGCACTCCTCTTTTCCCATCTTGCTCGCTTTCTAGTTTTTTTTTGTTGAGGGTGGGTGGGTGGGTGGGGGGGACGGAGTGGGGCGAGGTTTGAGTATGTGTGTGTGTGTGTGTGTGTGTGTTTATGTGCGCTCTCGACCCGCGGATCAAACAGTGTGTTTATAGGTATAAATATGTACATGGGTGTTTCTTTGATTCCCCCCTTCTCTCTCTCTCTCTTTGTCTCTGCCACTACATGCAGACATCCATATATATATATATATATATATATATATATACATGTAATTTCTATATATATATACACATACATACACATACACATACACATGTATGGCAGAGCGCGGGGGGCCCTAGTTCGCCGCCTAGAGCGCCCCCGTGGAGGCCCCAGGCGGCCCCCCAAAAAGATAATCAGAGCCCCATGGAGCCCCAATGTCGTCGCAGGGTGCGGCGGAGCGCGGGGGCCCGTGGGTCGCCGCCTGGCGCGCCCCCGTGGAGGCCCCAGACGGTCCCAAGAAATGAAGCAGGGCCCCGCGGAGCCCGAAATTCACCATGTCACGAAACCGAGCCCAGGACGAAAGTCAGGGGCCGAATTGCTGCTGTGATGCAACATTGGTCTCGTAGCTAGGGTCAGGCGATCGCAAACATGGATCAAGGGGGTGTCGTCGCAGGAAAACAGTCCAAGAGGCCTCCAGACCGCCCCGAGGGTGCCGGTGGGGTGCCTCCACGAGCTTCGGGGCGCAGGCCAGTGTACGTGTTTGCGAGTTGGTCGACAAAGGAGGACCCCAGGAGGACCCCCCAGACCACCGCCTTGTGGTAAATGTGTCTTGAATTGTTGGGCCTCTTGGACCGCTCCTGGAGCTCCCTTGGGGCCCCTTCGAGCCCTCCCAGGTCGTCATGGAGACCTCTCTCTGGGGTCTTCGGGGCCTCAGGAGAGCCCCGGCTGGGCCCCCCCATCTCACACACATTTGACACAAGCGGCTTCGTCGTCAGGGGTGGCGTTGTGTTAAACGTGTGGTGAATGGTTGGGTCTCTTGGACCGCTCTTGGAGCTTGGCGCCCCTTCGAGCCCTCCCAGGCCACCCTGTCGAGATCTGTTGAGGGCCTCTCGGGGCCTCAGGAGAGCCCCAGGAGGGCCCCCTATTTCACATACACACACACATTTAACACAAACCGCCGCCTCGTCAGGGACTGCGTAGTGTCAAATTTGTATTCATATGTTTGGTCTCTTGGTGCGCTCCCAGAGCTCCCTTGGGGTCTTCGAGCCCTCTCAGGTCGTCTTTGAGAGTGCTCCTGGGAGCTTGTCGGGGTCTCAGGAGAGCCTCTAGAGGGCCCAAGCTTTAACATACACGTTTAACACAGCACCGTTCCTAACGAGGCGGCGGTTTGTGTTAAACTTGTGCCACAATTTCGACCTTCTTGGGGTCCTCCCGAAGCCCGCCCGAGGTCCCGAGTACGGCCTGAGAGGCCTCGAAGAATCCTCGAACTTCAACGCATGTGAAGCCAATCTTTTCCTTGTAGAGGATTGGCTTCTGTAACTCGTGTTTTTTTGTGTGTCTCGTGGGGCGCTCCTGGAGCTGCCTTGGGGTCTCCTCGAGCCCTCCCAGGCCGTCTTGGACACGCGTAAGACGGATCGAAGCATGCACCCACTGCTTCAGCAGGAACATCCGAGCGATGTTTCCGGAAGCCTCTCCGGGAACATCTACGTCGATGTCCCAGAATATTCTCCGTGAGCGTGTGAGCGGATGCTCTGGATCTTGTTGCAGGAGCAAGGGGAGAAGGATGAGGAGAGGTGTCGAGGACAACGAGGAGGACGACGATGACCCTCGACGGTCCGCAGAGGTTTCAGGGTGTCTCCACGGAAGGGCCAACCACATCCAAATCCGCACAAACACGTGCAGAGTCGACGACGACGACGATGACGACAACACTGGCCGCGGCTGTAGCGTCGGCGGCGGCCAGAGCCCGCACGCTGGACGAGCGCTGGCGGGAGCCCCCGGCCCCGGGCAACCGCGGCGACGAAAGCGACCCCGCGAGGCCGAAGAAGGCCCAAAATATGTTACAAGCCTTGGTCCTCGACCCTGGATCCTTCATTCTCCCTCCTCGATCGCAGACGACTGCCACGACGTTGGTGGCGACAACGACGACCACGACCACGACCACGACGACCACGGCGACGTCGGCAGTGACGAGGAGCAGCCCCGCCGTTCCTCAGAGGTCCGACGACGACCACAGACGACGATCGATCGATCGGCGACGGCCGACAGCCGCCACAGATCTCCAGAATCCGGAGGCTCCCAAAGGCGCCAGAAAAGCACAACGCGCCCCAAAACGTGCAATCGTCCGACTGCGTCCACAGACGACGACCGCCACCAACGGGACCACTACGACGACCACCGCGACGATCATCACGACAGCGGCGGCGGCTGCGTCGGCGGCGGCCGCGGGGGCGGCACCTGGCGGCCCTGAGCCTGTGGAGCCTTCCTCGAGTACCGTGGCAGTCGCGTCACTCGCGCAGTCTGGGAAGCTCTCGGAGCCTTCCGACGCGCGTCGCACGTCGATCCCGCACGACCCCGCGGCCGCCCACAGAGCCCGAAGCTATCCTCCAGGAGGCCCAGCACCTCCACGCGCCAAGAGTGGCCGTTGACTGGGGGACCTCTCGTTTCGTATTTTGGGGTTTGTGGAGTAGCGCACGGTCTACTGACAACGATGGCGCAGTCGGCTAGAACCGAAACCCGCGCGTAGCGCGCGCTGGGTTCCAGTGCATTGTTTGCATGTGCGCATGTATGCATCTGTATATATATATATATGTATAGATGCATATGTAGATGTATATGCCTGTTCATGTTATCTGTATTGGTATATGTTCATGTACATGTATATGTATGTGTGAGTGTATATATATATATGTGCATACATGTTTATGTATGTGTTTATGCATATGGACATGCATACGTATGTGTGCATGTACATGCAGTTTGATGTGTGTATGCATATATACATGCATACGTGTATGCACATGTACATACATGTGTACATGTGTTTGCATCTGTCTATTATATATGCTTCTGTATCAGTATATGAAGACGCATGTGTGTATATGTATATGTGTATATGAATATGTAGATGTATATGCCGATGCAACTGATATGTATATGTATACGCATTTGCATGGCAACGTGCATACATCTATGACCATTTATGTATACAGATACTTATATACTTGTATTATGTATGCCTAGGTGTGTCTAGGTGTATGTGTATGTATATGGTTGTGATTCTGCTTACGTCTATGAATATGTATATGTATATGTGCATGTGAATGTGTATGTGTACGTGCATGTATAAGTATATGTTTTTGGACCTGCATATGTGAATGTATATGTATATGTATGGGGGTCGGTAGATGAGTATGCATATGTATACACCCATATGTCTTTGGCATGCAAATGTGTGTACATGCATGTGTATATGTATATGCAGGTGTAGTCGTATATGCATGTGGACATGCCTATGTCGATGTATATGTATGTGTGCATGTACATGTGTACATAAGTGTGTATGTGTATGAATACGACTATGCAAATGTTACTGTGCACACATGTGCATATGTATACAAACATACACATATACATATATGTATGTATATGTGGGCACATGTATGAGCATGCCATTGTATATGTAACAGCATAGGTCGATGCATCTGCATAGGTATATGTATTTGTATGTGTAGAATTGGATGTGTACGTATATGTTTCTGAACATGTCTGTACACATAGATTTCTACATGTATATATGTATAGGTATGTGTACATGTATATGTATATGGATGTGTATATGCACTTGTATATGTATATGCACATGCATATGTATATTTTATGTTCATGTGCTTTCGTATGTGTAGATGTATATGTTTATCAGTCGAGGCATCGCCCTCTGGCACCGGCTCATTTTCTATCATAATGAGATATACCAGAGTCGCGTCGGTGCATCTCCGCGCTGCCTTGGCGCACCTGGTAACATCATGCGGGTGCAGATAGGAGGCATCAGCGCATATTGAGACGTTGGCGTGATCGAAGACGCTTACGGCGAATCACCGACGCCCCCTGCCTTTTTGGAAGCGCGTATGTGGCCGAACGTTGAGGCCAGACCTGCCACGCTATCGGACCATGTGTTCCCCGAATCGGTTTGGAAAGCCTTCGGGGAACACGTGGGCATCTGGAAGGTCATCTTTCCCGTCTGGAGGCCAATTTGACCCTTGTCGGGCCTTCTTGGAGGACGTCTTGGAGGGCTCTTGGGCCGTCTTGGAGGCCATCTTGAGCGTCTTGGAGACCTCTTGGGCTGTCTTGGGGGCCTCTTGGGGCCGTCTTGGGCGATCTTTGGAGGCACTTGGGCCGTCTCGGGCCGTCGGAAGGCAGACAAAAATGCCACAATCCTTCAAACATTTATTGAAAATCAATGATTTTGGCATTTTCGGGCCTTCCTGGAGGTCCTCTTGGAGGCCTCTTGGGCCGTCTTGGGCCATCTTAGGGCCATCTTCGGCCGTCTTGGTGGGCTCCTGGTCCGTCTGACGCCGTCGGAAGCCGTTTTGGGGGCCTCTATGGGCCGACTTGGGGCCCTCTTGGAATGCTCCAGGGCCGTCTTGGAGGCCCATCTTGGGCGTCTTAAAGGCCTCCTGGGCCGTCTTGAGGGCCTCTTGGGGCCCTCTTGGGGCCCTCTTGGGGCCATCTTGGAGGCCATCTTGGAGGCCTCTTGGGCGATCTTTCGGCGATCTTTGGGGGCTCTTGGGTCGTCTCGGGCCGTCGGAAGGTCGAAAAGAAGCAAATGTCAAAATCCGTCAAAATCCTCAGGAAAATCAATGTTTTGGGCCTCTTCTGGCCTTCCTGGAGGCCCTCTTGGGGGCCTCTTGGGCCGTCTTGGGCCAGCTT